AGGAAGTATTACTTTACTGAGAGGGTAGTGGATGCATGGAATAGCCTTCCAGCTGAAGTGGTAGAGGTTAACATAGTAAAGGAGTTTAAGCATGCATGGGATTGGCATAAGGCTATCCTAACTGTAAGATAAGGCCAGGGACTAATGTAAGTATTTAGAAAATTGATGGCCGAATGGTTCTTATCTGCCGTCACTTTCTATATCTGAGACTAGCCACCCAGACAGCTGCTGCAACAATCGGTTTGCATAACCAAAACATGTCTGCACAAACTGTCAGAAACCGTCTCAGGGAATCTCATCTGCATGCTCGTCGTCCTCATCGGGGTCTCGACCTGACTGCAGTTCGTCATCGTAACTGACTTGAGTGGGCAAATGCTCACATATGATGGCATCTTGGTTTTCACTGTACAGGGCAGATGGCAGACATCATGAATGGCGTTGTGTGGGTGAGCGGTTTGCTGATGTCAATGTTGTGGATCGAGTGGCCCATGGTGACAGTGGGGTTATGGTATGGGCAGGCGTATGTTATGGACAATAAAAATAGGTGCATTTTATTGATGGCATTTTGAATTTAACAGAGATACCATGACGAGATCCTGAGGCCCATTGTTGTGCCATTCATCCACGACCATTACCTCATTTTGCAGCATGATAATGCACAGCCCCATGTTGCAAGGATCTGTACATAATTCCTGGAAGCTGAAATCATCTCAGTTCTTGCACGGCCAGCATAATCACCGGACATGTCACCCATTGAGCATGTTTGGGAGGCTCTGGATCGGCGTATACAACAGCCTATTCCTGCCAATATACAGCAACTTTACACAGGCATTAAAGAGGTGTGGACCAACATTCCACAGGCCACAATCAACAACCTGATCAACACTATAGGAAGGAGATGTGTTGCACTGCGTGAGGCAAATAGTAATCACACTAGATACTGACCTCTTTTTTGGACCCTCCTGGACCTCCCCAATACAGTAAAACTGCACATTTTAGAGTGGCCTTTTATTATGACCAGCCTAAGGCACACCTTTGCAATAATCATGCATTCTTTTATTCTGGATATTACCCATGGGAATTCTGGGCCCTCTGGTGAGAGCCATGCGGTCGCTACTGCTCTGCCTGCACTTAAAGTTATCTTATGTACTAATTTCTGCTCCCTCCTAGTCCACCCTTTCAGCGATCTGTTTAGCAGGTAGATCCACGGGTCCATAGCTAGGGGTGTATGTGTGTGTGTGTGTGTGTGTGTGTGTGTGTGTGTGTGTATATATATATATATATCCGATATAGAATGGCTGCTCACCGGTTATTTAAAATACATATATTGGATAAAGTTCAAAAGCGACCAACGTTTCATTCCCCGCTCGGGACCCTCCTCAGGGTCGACAACATATATATATATATATATATATATATATATATATATATATATATATATATTATTTTTTTATTATTATTTTTTTTTTTAAGTGACAGAATCTTTCCAGCTAAGTACTCACTTAAACCAAATGTACTTTTAATCTGACTTTGTGATGGACTTTAATTAATGTACTTATCAATATCATTGGACAGTTTAAAATTACTTTTTGTACTATAGCAATTGCTGTTTAACTAACAAAAACTAAATTAATATTTAATGGTAAACTGCAAATGTATGCAGATTCCTGCCTAATGTATCTTCCGGTAACCTTTTTATTAGTGAACAGGGCATTTCAGAAGTGTCAGATTGAATGAAAATAATATGCTTGCTGCACTGAAAACAAATGTAATTCTTTCTGCATAAAAACATAAATTACATAGGGCAGAATTCATTATTGCAAATTAATACAGAATCTATTTTTTTTATTTTTGTAGTTAGCAGCTGCCCACCTTGTTTGCATTTTTTAAGCAAATTAATGAACAGAATTATATACAGTTCAAGAGCGTGAATATATTTTTTGGAGAATGCCTAGTCTGTTATTGTCCACCGATAAAATGCTTTCATAGTGCACCTGTCTAGACCATCAATTCTCAATCGCTTTCTAAATCTCACTATTTTCCAACCGCCACAATTCCTAAACATGCACTCCTAATATCAACATTTTTTCCATTAATTATTTATAACACTATTCTGAGCAACCTATCAGTTAGCATCACAGAGACATAAAGAAACAAAAAACAATGAAACCCCCAGTAGCCTTGAGCCAAATTAGAGCCAATGTGATTGGCTGAGTCTGACTTCATATCCTCCTCTACTGCTCCCCTCCCCCTACTGGCCTTTTCAGTAATTCCAGTAATATTTAGTATTTCTCCAGTGTGGTCAATCCTCAGTCATTTTATCTCCTCTGCTTGGTGTCCCTGGTATTTTATTGCTATGTTGAAAGTTAGTGCAACTTTGTGCAAGTCTTTCACCAGTTTGGCTAGGTAGTGTCTGTTGTTATATTAATTCAGTCTATTGATGTGTCCATGATCCACCTTGTCTGGTGATCATTTAGATCCTTACCCAGATCATCCTGTGTTTTGGATTTTAATCTAGGAAGCACTACGCAGTCATAGCTAGGTTTTCACTGGACCTCTGTGTTTAGTGGTGGAGCTGTGTTTGTATATTCTTTCTTAACATTTCAATTTATGTTCAGGTTACTAAAGTCAATATAACCATATTCTATGACCTCCATATCCCTGATAGCTGTATCTTGTAGCACTGTCTTTGATGTACACTGTATTGCTGTTACACGTTTGTATAAATGTTCATCTTCAGTTCCTATCTCTAGGATTTACATCTTGTTCTTAAAAGAACACTCCAAGCATCATAACTACTACCTCACACTGCAGTGGTTATTGTGCCAGAAGTACCCTAGCACCCTTCCATGGTAAGTAGTAAAACTGTTTGTGAAAAGGTTGACAACTTACCCATGGTCCACTGGTTAGCTCAACAGTACAGGGCTTAAGTCATTGGCTGAGAGCACTTAGCTAATGATTTTAGTAAAACAGGCAGGCTTGATTAGGTGGAATTAGTTCATTGGAGAAATGGAGCTAATGGAAGCACAGAAGTCAGTGACTGGTGCTTGGCAAACCCCAGGTACGTTGTCAAACCTTTCACAAATGGTTTGACTACTTACCCAGGGAAGGCACCAGGGCACTAGTGGCACCATAACAGTTGTGGTGTTTGGAGTGATCCATAATATTACAATCTATATTTGCAGTACTGTGTTTGCCCCCTAAAGGTGTGATGCAGTTGAGAAACTAATGACCATTTTCTTCCACTGGGGCTCACTTCTTATCATTGTGGAAGTATTTATCTTTCAATCTATAGTCAAAATCTGTAAAAAGTATCATCACGTGTCTTGTGACTTGTACCATCAATGTGGGACACACTTTTTCAGTGACATTAAAACAATTACTTGTCTGATGATCCTAACATTTGCCTTCTTTGCTCTCAAGTTTACCTTATTTAGCATTGATGGCTTAAATACTTTGAGATCCATATGAGGACATACCTAACACCATCACTCTATGTATTTCTGAACTTGCATTGCAGCATGTATAATTAATAACTTATATTATTTAAACATTATTTAAGTAAGTTGCTAAAGAAAATTCTAGCAACTTTATTAACTTATACACTTTCCTAAAATGGCATATAGATCTTACCCTTAAGATTAAAGGACAGCATTGTTTCTGTAACATTCTAATTTACTAAACTTATTATGGCTGTGAAATGAACCTTAGAAATTAACTTTTTTTTTTTCATGTAACAAATGGAAATAATCTTGTTTTACAAACTGGGATATGTTGTTTGAAGTACACAGAGACACAACTTAAGCTAACGTTCAAACAATTTAATGCGACACAATCTACTTAGACAATCTTAGATTTACTGTATAATTGCGTATTTATATTTCTAACTCCTTTGCACATGGAAGTTAGGCAAAGGGTAATAGCCCCAATTTAAAAGGCACCCAGTAAATACATGAAGGTAATTTAAAGCTGCAGCCACCGGTACATTTTCCTCATTTATGCCTGCCTAAAAAGTCCAGAATAATGATTCCAAACCATTGGTTTGTGATTAAACTTTATGAAATGCCACACTTTTAAGCCCTTTTTTTATAATATTAAGAAAATAGCCATTTCTAAAGCTGTTGTGATAATCAAATGGACTTATAATATCATTCTAAATTAAAGGTAAAATCCAGTGGAACTCCCCCAAATCACTTCAGCATGCTTTATTACTTTAGGGGTTGCCTGTTTTATAAAAGTGCTCATTTCAAGAGATATCTGTATGTTTACAAATTCTCTAAGTAGCACCTCTTGGCTGTCAAGCAGACAACAAAGATGGTTTCCTGCTTCACTTTCTTTGAACTACAGTTAGCGCTTCTCATAGAGAAGTATTAGTTTCAGTGCTTCTCTATTGTACTATAGTGAGTGATTCTCATAGTAAAGTGTTGGTTTCAGTGCTTCTCTATAATAAATATGTTTTTTTTTTTTAACCAGTGTTTCTCTATAATATTCATTGGACCAGAGCTGGATTATCCATTAGTTAGGTCTGGTAGGCAAAAGATCCCCCTGCTTGGCCCTGTCTTCATGTGATAAAGGTTTGTGGTCTGCACTAATATCAGTTGCATATTACATAAAGAGAACCCTTGCGGTTAGCAGTGCTTCTCAATGACTCAGAGAGTTGAACCAGTGCTCTTAAAGTGATCTGGACCAATATTAGTGCAGACCATATTGCTCCTCCACTAGACCACCAATGATCCTGCTTTAGAGTGCCTTGCAATGAACCAACAGGGAGATCAATAGAGCAATTTTCACACACACACACACACACACACACACCAATAACAACAACAACAACAACAACCAGTCTTCCCCACACATACATCCCTCACATTGTCCAGGACTCAAAGAGGGGGCCCCAAAGCATCCCACCTAGGGCCCTGCCAACCTTAATCCAGCTCTTGATTAGACACAAGTCATTAGCAGAGATGTCGCGAACCGTCTGCGAACTTCCCGCGAACTCCGGTCAGCTGACACATCCCTGCCAATTTCCGGCAGACCCTCCCTCCCAGACCCTCCTACTTCCTGGACAGCATCCATGTTGAAGGCAGCTTCAACATGGTGCTGTCCAGGAGGTGGGAGGGTCTGGGAGGGAGGGTCTGCCGGAAATTGGCAGGGATGTGTCAGCTGACCGGAGTTCGCCACGAATGGTTCGAGGCGAACCGTGGCGAACCGTTCGCGGGAAGTTCGCGGAAGGTTCGCAACATCTCTAGTCATTAGTAGTGATGATTTCACAGGAGTATCAACGCTATGGTGAGGAGAGTCTTACAAAGCTGGAATACATTTAATAATTAATAATAATAATAATGGAATAATTAATGTTAACACTTTCTGTGACCAAATTAAGCACAAAAATAATTAATTATTATTTGTTTTATTTTTTTTTAAAGTAATTTTGAAAGTTTGCATTTAAACAGCTCTCAACCATCTGATGCAAACATTTGCAAATAAACGCAGCATTGGAATTTTATCAGATTTCCAGTTATGAGTCACACATTTCTGAAGGATTATTGTGCAATTAATGTTTTATGACAGATTTTTATGCCAGTGCTTGGATCAAGTTCCTCTTCCAGAAACCAATAACCAATCATGGACAGATTTAAGGTTCTCTGCCCTGGCTTATCACCACAAGAATGGCTTTTGTCCTGTATTAAGAATATGGTATGCTTTCAAACTAGTTTCAAACTACTTGTGGTAAAATCAAATATTGAAAGTAAAATCTCGAAATGCAACATTAACATTTGCAAAATTTATGATCCAATGGCTGCGTAGGAGATTATATTTGGTCTAAAATCTGTACAAACTCATCATAATTTACAATTAAAAAAATATATATTTTAATATTGTGTCTCATTTAGTCCATATTTTTTTTTAACATTTAGAGTCCAGGAAAAATCACAATTCTTGTTCTAAAGGTTTTGATTAAAAAAATGTTTTACATAAAATACGATTGTTGCTAGAGTCGGATTATCACGGGGAAGAAAAAAGCTGTTTGAATGCTAAAGTAAACTGTTCAGTATAAGAAAAAATAAAAAAGAGAATAGAGTATTATGTGTATTGAATTTGTATATAAAAGAGATCAGTTTGTGTTTATCGCCTTGAGGGCAAATTTTTTTCTGCTCTGAAGTTTCAGTTCTTCTGGCTTCAAAGCATATATAGAGCGGGTTTAATGCAATGCAATCATCAGAAAATACAAATTGGTTTATTACCATGCAGCTTAGTTATTTTTTTAAAGAAATATTGGTTGTGGTTTATCAAGGGTCACCGGAATCCAACTGTGCACTAACTACATAAAAGGAAACTATTCTGTATAATCGTAAAGAAACTATATTCCATGCTTGAGTAATCATTAGGGAAATTTAAACGACCAAGCATGTCGGGAATGTAGGGACAGGGAACGAAGTTTCAAAAGGCAGCATGTCGGGAGTGTTGAATTATGGCTCCTTCTATAATTGGACTACTCCCATAATTAAATAAGTCAAGAATAATTATGGGATCCTCACTAATACAAAAGTATGTCTTTTGTAAGCCAATGCACTCTGCCAAAGATCTGTTTCTATCTGGTGTTTGCACTCGCACCATCGATGCCCACCTGTAAGAATTCTCTAGGGCTGCACCATTCCTATGGAACTCCCTTTCCTGCTTTGTAAAACTGTCATCCAGTCTCAGTTCTTTCAAAATATCTCTTTCCCTGCAAGTTGTTGGTACCTGCATCAGCCCCTCCTTGAAAGCTCGCTGTCTTGGTGCCATCTTTGATCCTGGCCCCATGTTTGTGACTTATATCCAGTCTGTTGCAAAAACCTGTTAATTCCACCTTAAAAACATTGCCTACAATCACCTCTTTCACAAACAAGATGCTGCCAAGGAGCTTGTTCAAGCTTTGGTAATTTTTTGCATGGATTACTGTATTTCACTCCTAATTGTGCAATTGGTCTCTCCAAAAGCCATAATGTCCCGCTACAATTTGTATTAAATGCTGCCGCCAGGCTAATCTTTCTCTCCTGACATTCCTCTCATTCCTCACCCCTTTGTCGATCCTTACACTGGCTTCCTATGTTCTATAGTTATCATTTCAATATATTAACCCTTACCTATAAAGGTCTAAACTCTAGCCCCTGTTACATTTCTTCACTGATTCGTAGGTATGCTCCTTCTAGGTCTTTCCGCTCTGCCTATGGCAATCTCCTTTTTATATATATATGTTATTTTATTCTAACTGTAATTTGATATATATCAAAATACACTTAGAATGAAATTAGATATATATCTATGTATATCCCCTTAACGACCGTGAACATACTACGTACGTCACACACACAAAAAAAAACGGTCGTTAAGGACCACGGACATACCTAGTATGACAGCGGCAAATAGGAGCCATGGACCCCAGCAGCCCTCCTGCAGCAGCTCTGGCCACCCCGGCCCTCCAGGGCCATGTAATCACCATGATCACATCGCCACAATAGGAGTCTAGTTGCTGCCAGCAGGGGGATTGTCTGAGCTGTCAGGAAGTCCCCAAGGCTGCTAAAAAGTAAAAAAAAAAAAAAAATATGTTATACATAGGGCAGCACAAAACCACAATACACCACTGGTGTAGGGAGGGGTTTCACAATTTGTACTTTAATAATTATTTAAAAAACAAAAATATCTTTCTTGGAGCTCTAGCACTTTACAGATTGACCCATACACACACACACACACAGACTGACTCCCCTACCCAAAACATGCACAGACTGACCCATACACACACAGACTGACTCCGCATGTATTCATTGAGGTATATATATTGAATCTGAATCTATTGTCAACTTAACTATATATCCCATGCAGTAGAAAGTTAATCATTTGAGACCAACCTCTATTAACTATATTTTTAGTGCACTATTTTTTATTTATTTACTTTTTTTAAATTTTAAATTAGTGGGGGTTGGTGATGTGACACACAGTTGGTTGGAACACACAACTATATGCATGCTTAAAAATTAAGTGTTAATAATTTCTTTAATCTTATTTCTATTAATTCTTGAGTTTATTGTTAAAAAACAATGTTAAGAGAAATAAAAATAGATCAATGAGAAGTACTACAGTACACCACAAGCTCAAGTACACCATTACTTTGTATCAATATATCTTTAATAAAAAATGCACAAAAAAAATAATGGCCGAGCACATCCACATACAGTGTAAGTCTCACAATTATATCATTGGGACAAAGCAGGCAGACCCTGGGAAGACAGGCAGTATTGATGAGCCTGTCCACATAAGGGGAGTGTCAGTCTGGAATTAACGCATGCCAGGCTGACTGACAACCTCCACACAGGCCCCACACACAGAAAACTATGCAAAGGACACAGCTGAAGTGTTATCTGTGTGGCCTTAGGCAAGTCACACAGTGTATAAACATAGGCTCATACTGGCAAAACAGGGACGGAAGACCAGGACCCTGAAATAGGGACAGCCCCACCAAAAGTGAGGACAGTAGGAAGGCCTCCACCCACCCAGTTGAAAGGTATTTGTAATTATATACTAATTGTTTGCTTATATTCCAGTGGGAATAAGCATCAACTCATGATTTAACACATTAACTGTAAACAAACGTAAATGTAACCAGCAAAATACTGTACTATATTGTTTTTTTTTTATGTTTGTTTATACCAATTTGTGGTAAATCATTTGTATAGGCCTGTTTGAATTCCTGTGGAACACAAGGAGAATGTAAGTATTTAATTATTATATAATTTCTCTTGGGTGAGTTTGCACAGGCCTCTTTATTGCAATTATGCACAGGCCTTTTTATTGCAATTACACCACTTTAAATGCTGGTGAATGGCCTGTTCAATTAGGTAAGATCAAATCAGGTCTTTAAAGGCCATTGAACAATTAAGGGGTTAAGTTTCAAATCTGTCTATGGATGGATTTTTTAGAAAACAGAATAAATCTTCCAGTGTACAGTGGTCACATTCATTTGTTTAACATTCGAGGGGTTAATGAAACAGGTTACAGCTGTGACAAATGGAGAGCAGCAAATTGTTTCTCCATAGATTAAATATTCTTTGACCGCTCATAAATTACACTGCTCCAGCTTTCCATGTATCGCTGGCAGACTTCATGATCTCTTATGTTGTCTAAAAGGTGCCATTCACATTCGCTCAGACTATAACACCACTTATTCATCTCCTGTGTAACATAACCAGTAGTTCCATCATGCACATGTGCAGTGCCTATGTGTGTGTGGTCTGCACCAGACATTCCTCATTCGCACTTAAAGCATTATGATTCCTTTCAGAAACAAGCTTCATTCTTAATAAGATATCAATAGAATAAAAATTATACTGGCTTGTGTATCAATAGAATAAAGATTATACTGGCTTGTGTGAATATAGCAGATGTTGCTTGCAATATGATAGAAAAAAAAACGTTATAAGGGGAAAATAGGATACAGACACAAATTCATACATGAATCATCAACACCTGAGTGAGATAGCGAGATCGATAGATAAATAGATAGAGGGAGAGAGAAAGTTACCTCTGAATAGACCTGTATCCAGGTGTTTTCAGAGATCAATATTGTAGACATGTGCAATTCGTTTCATTCCGAATGTACATTCGGCCGAATTTCGTGCAATTCTGACATTCGGATGCTTACAAATGTCCGAAGTGCCGAAGTTCCATAGTGCTTCGGATTTCTGAAAAGTGGCAAAACAAGATAGATGGAGGGAAAATTATGTGAATGGTGACAGGAATCTTGACCAACAAGCTAATTCTTGGCACTGGGAGCCCTATATATGTGTAAGTGGTTGTGGTGGCAGTCCAGGCACTGGGAGCCCTATAGATGTTTAAGTGGTTGTGGTGGCAGTCCTATAGACTATAGGTATGTGGGGTATTTTATGCAAGTCTCAGAAAAGTGTTGATTTTATTCTCTTTGATTTATTAATAAGTGGGCATTTATTGTCTTCAGCTACAAGCTATCATGCACAGTTTAGACAATAATCCTCACCATATATTTTGTTTCATCTTGCCGCTAATCCCAGACAAGTGTTGGAAACACCTTGCTGTGACTCCCAGATACTCAGAGGGATGACCCTCACCAGTTTTATTCAGCTCAACTTGCTGAGACTTCTTTCGTTTTC